AATCCGTTCAAGTGACAATCTAGCGGATTTATTCACTAAGAAATTGCCAACATCAACATTTGAGAAGTTGAGACATAAGATTGGAATGCATCGTTTCCGAGATATCAAATAAAGTTTTCATCAGGGGGAGTATAATACGCGCTGTACTCTTTTTTCCTCAACCAAGATTTTGTCCCAATTGGGTTTTTCTGGTAAGGTATCTTATGAGGCAGCATTTAATGCGTATTACAAGATATATGTTAGGCTTTTTCCTACCGGATTTTTTCTAGTAAGGTTTTAGCGAGGCACATTATCTATGGACATTCAAGTGGGAGCGTTATGAATACATTGTATTTGTGAATGTCCAACAACTCATCCATGAACCATTTTGGATTATACATGAATATGTTTATTACACACATTTAATATCTTGTAGCTCTCAAGTAAATTGTACACTATATATATGATGTTTCTGATTCTACAAAAGACATCAATAAGATAGACTTGAATACAATTTGATAGAAGAAAAGTTTTATCTATATTTTTGGTGTATATTGCTATAATTTTATAATATTTCATCAATTATAGTCATTAGTCTACACGCCGTTGGTTGGTGAAGAAATTTATCGGTTCACGTAGGATAATTCTCAAGGTTAGATTTGATGTCATTAGCCTTGTTAGATTTTTATAATATTATTTATTTTGCTTCTCCTTAAATATGAAATTTTAGTTTTTTCCTCAAATATGATTGGGATAGCCTTTATAGTCTAAATCATGTTGCAGTGCATAAGCCTTCGAATTTTTAATGACATGACCAAATGCATGAACACAATTGTGAAGTAAATGCAGAACGACGAAGATTAATACAAAACACAAACATAGAATGTGTAAGTATCTATGATCCGACACGATTATTATTGACGGTCAGAATTTCAAAGCATTTTGGACTATCTAATTTGAATTAAGATCCTCTTGACGATGGCTCATCGAAAATTTTATTGTGTTCGAAAAGAGAAAGGAACAAAAAGAGAGTATAAAGTCTAAGCAAAATTTGGAGAATCCGACATGCTACAACTTCGATAATGCAGGCTTATGTTTATTTTTTAGAACTCCAACCATCATCAATACAATCCTATGAAGTTAAAGGATATATCCTAACTTAATTTAGAGGTCACGAGAATTCAACTTTAATTTCATCATTGAAAATGAAAAGTATTCGTTCAAATTCATTTAATAGAAATTTCTAATCTAATTTTGTTGTGCAGTGATAACAATATCGATCGAATAGACACATCACTGATTAGTTTGAGCTTGCATCTTTCTTTTACATATTGTGTAACTCACACATATTTTAATATTATTTATCACTTTTAAAATGCTTGTACTTGTAAGCATGAGATCCACATGTAACGTGTGTATCCATAAACTAATTTCAATTGAAATGGAGGAAGTGTACACAAAAACACAACACACATAAATTTATACTAATTATCTTTAATTGTGTACTTTCTTGCCTTCTTTTTCTTTTGAATACCTAGACGCCACACTTTAGGTGTAGTGGTCGTTTGGTATGAGGTATTAGGTGGAATAAGAGTTGGGATTAAATTTGTTCCTTGTTCGGTTGGAGGTATAAATTTATCCTGGGATAAATTTGTACCTCTAACCAAACAAGGTATAAACATAATCCAAAATCTTATCCCTCTTATCCCACTTTATACCATCAATTGTGGGATTATATTATTCCATCTTTTATGTGGTATAAGTTAGTACCGGAATTATAATCCCGGTACTATTTTGTCTACGTACCAAACGACCCCTAAGGATATAAAATGCAAGGTATTTGATAGCAACATGACATAGATATCGATTATAATTCATGGTCCATTTTATTGTGGTTTACATACTTTACTTAAAGTTTAGGCAAACTAGTGAACCTGCCCATACTTGGCGCGATTATAGAATATATCAGTGATTTTATTTTTAATAATTTACTCGAGATAGATGGTATATAACTTTATGTTATATGCATACACAATTTAGTTTTTTATTATAATGATGGAATCAGAAAGATAAGTTTTAATTAGAATTAGTGCTTAAATGAACTGAATATTCTATTGTAAAAGATTTTTAAAGAAACTTTTATATATTATATTATGTGTGTGTGTGTGTGTGTGTGTATGATTTTAATATATGATGACTAATTATCTGTTAGATGTACATATAAATGTATGTGATTACTTTTCTTTCATCAGATAGTAAAACCTTTGTTTTTCTAGGTATTTTCTTCAATTCAAATAAGTAATACATGAAATGAAGAGTAAAGAAAAAAGAAAACAATGCAACTTTTTTGGGAAACTAATAATAATTTATTACGAAAGTGATAAATTTGTACAATTTAACAAAAGAAACAAGGAAGTTTGGAGATCAAGCCCCAAATTTGCAGTTACTTTGAGAAATCTTACACAACACTATCTCGGGAATAAAAAACTAAGATTGTCTAAGACCTTATTTGTTTGCATTTAATGGATGTCTGAAACTTAATCATTCATATCTCAGTCATTAAGTACATCTGTTTTTTAAATCTGAATAATTATTAAGATCTTGACCATTAAGTCTGTATTTTTTTTTAAAAAAAAATTGCAACCACTTAGTAGGCCTGAATGGATCTTAATTATAACAGGTATAACAGAGTAATATCGATAAGATATTATACAATCAAGAATTTATGTAAAAATGATATTTCACTATTACTCTTATACTTTCACCACTACTATCATTATCCCCCCGCCATTATAGACTACTACCATCCACTACCCACTATCCTCGTCTACAACCACTAATGCTGCCAAGCACGAATATTAGATGTCACTACCAATAGCCATCATTTACAACCATCACTATCAACCACCATTACCACAACAATCACACTATCAACCATCACTATATATCATCCATCATTGTTATCGGTCATCGCCGTCATCTACCATCACCGTTAATTACTACTGTTATCAATGGCAGATTCAGAATTTTGGGTTCGTGGGTGTTTAATATTTTTAACGTTAAATACTACTAATCACATTGCATAAATACACAAGTATTTGAATATGATGATAAATTTTTTGAGAAAAACTCATAATTTGAATATTATGGACAACGCGACATTGTGATACTAATGAGAAACAAGATTGGTGGGTTTTACCATTCTAGAGGACCACTTCATCTTCAAACAAACTTTGGAGCCCCTTTTATAGTAAATTTTCTTTTTCTCTATTTGTTATATTTAATTAAACAAAGTTTTAAAATTAGAAAAATGTTAAAACAAACAAAAGTCAACGAAAAAGAAATGAAAAAAATAAGTAGTGAGGATCATAATAGTGGCTAGCGAAAGAACAAAAAAGTAGAACTAATTGGAATGGGGCAAACGAAACAACCTCTCTATCCTCTCGGGGTAGAGGTAAAATCCGCGTACATACTATCCTCCCCACATCCCACTTATGAAATTTTACTGGATCGTTATTGTTGTTTGTTGTTGATATACTAAGAAACAAACTACTAAGAAAAAGGCTTTCGAGGAAAAGGATGTTTTTTTAAAATTACCATTTTCTCTTTTCATTAACTTTATTTTTGATATTCTATTATCTTATTCAAGTTGACATATACTAATTTCTTTAATTGTTCGTCTCATATTTAACCTAAACCATTTTTCAATTCTCTTTTATAGAATCTATAATATAATGTTTGATCTTAATAAACCAGTAATATTTTTTTTATAAGAGTAAGCTTTAATATATTCCATTTTATTCTTTCAACGACCTAGTCAAGAAGGGACGGACAAACTAGTAATTAATATAATATAATAAGGAATGACATAAATAAGATGTGTTGTATTTAAGTTTTTTGTAGAATTTCTGGACATCAAATAAGAGGGAAAAGCCAAGCAAAACACGCCAAGGCAAATTTTTCCCTCTAATCACTCACTGCTCAGCAAAGATGGAAACACAAGTAAAAATTGCACGGGCGCCCTATTTGGTCGCCCCCATTTAATCTATACCCATTTTAAATTTTTTAACTTGTACCCACTTTTTAAACTATTTCAGCTCCCTTTCTCCTCCCCTTCTCCTCCTTCATTTTCTTTTTTCTTCTTCTACAATCCGATTCCATCGAATCCATACCTATAACGGTGGGTCCGCCCTTGGTTTTTACTTCTTAAACTCATCAAAGCCTCTGTTATTTTATGACCACTTGAATTTACGTGTTGTTAGAATTGGGTACAAAACAACGTAATTCCACATGCTTCAACTATCAAATTTACGTAGATTTCAGCAGGTAATGAAGTCGTACCAGGACCACTAGCAAACTTCGTATTAGGAGTGTTGCAAAATCTCGACTATGCATTGAAAGCCAACAACAACAGCAGGAAATCAGATTACATCTTGATAGTGGGATTCCCCAGTTACAAAGACAAGAAATTCAGCTCTAGAGCTGAAGTTTTTGTGTTGTAACTGGAAACTTCAGCTCTGAAGTTTCCCAGTTACAACACAAAAACTTCACAAAAACTAGAACTGAACTTCAGGCCCGGCTACTAGAATGCTAAAGTTTTGCGTGATTGCCTTTGCTACTTCAGCCCCGTGTGCTGAAGTTATGTGAAAAAGCGGGTACGCTTGTAATTTTTTTTGCAAAGCAGGCACAAGTTAAAATGTGATACGAAAAACGGGTATAAATGCAAATGCCCCGAAACAAAAACAACTGTGGGCCAACCATCCGTAGCCTTGGCCCAAAGCGTTACGCCAGGCAAAAATGCACGAACCTGTGAAAATCCACGTGGTGAATACCCATTTGATATTAAAGTAGTATGCGGATTGCTATCCGAAGCAAACATCTCTCCTCAAATCTTCACCGTTAATACAAAATCAACGGACCCCATTCACTCTCAATCACCACAACGCCAAAACATTTCTCACTCTTCAAAATTTCCCAAATATTCCCGCCCAACTTCCCTCCTATATAACTTCCCATCAGACATCTCTCTAATTCACCATTATTGCAACAACCAAAGCATTTTCGAATCTACAAAAGTCTTTCATATTATTATCAGACATTCAAAATGGCTCGTACCAAGCAAACTGCTCGCAAATCCACTGGTGGAAAGGCTCCAAGGAAGCAGCTAGCTACCAAGGCCGCTAGAAAGTCGGCTCCGGCGACCGGAGGAGTGAAGAAGCCTCACCGTTTCCGTCCAGGAACAGTTGCTCTCAGGGAAATCAGGAAGTACCAGAAGTCCACTGAGTTGTTGATAAGGAAGCTGCCGTTTCAGAGGCTGGTGAGGGAAATAGCACAGGATTTCAAGACAGATCTGAGGTTCCAGAGCAGTGCTGTTGCTGCTCTTCAAGAGGCTGCTGAGGCTTACCTTGTTGGTCTCTTTGAAGACACCAATCTCTGTGCCATTCACGCGAAGAGGGTCACCATAATGCCAAAGGACATTCAGCTGGCCAGGAGGATTCGTGGTGAAAGGGCTTAGGAATATGCTTCGTTGTGCTTGTGGTTATGGTTAATTTTGTGTTCTGATTTAGAGCGTTTTTATGTTAGGGTTAGTGATGTAAATCAAACGACTCGTTTCAGTCAAACTATATGTAAAACCTCTGGTTTACTAGTATTTTAAGATCTGATTAGTGAAATCTATTGTTCATTTTGTTTCAATCAAAGGTGCTTTCATATATGGGTTTGAAATTTGCAGACGTTCAAAAATTGGAACATTTGTCTGTTTTTTCCTTTCTAGCGATTGACTATTCATATAAATGTGTGTTTTTGCACTATGTTTGTTTGTTGAAGGAACTAAGTTTGTTTGTTGAAGGATTGACTTACTACTTGTGCCTTGTATGATATACTGTTTAGAGGAGGAATAAAAGCATTTAGATTCTCAATTACAATGAGAAAGAATTACTTGGCATTGACACTTGTGGTAATGCTTGGAAAAATAAATCAAACGGGTTTTTATGTAGTAAAATGGAATACCATTACTTTGCAATGCATATTAGATAGTATGAACTCCGTGGATCCTTTATTTGTTTTATGAAGTTGAACTTGATTTTGGTTTGTTAATCAAAATATGGTTTATGGTTTTGTTAAAGGTAGAATATTAGTTGTAGGCGTTGGGTTGATGTTGATATTCTTTTTTTCCTTATTCCCATCAAAGGTTGAACTGGGAGCTGTTTTGACGAAATTTCTGTTGACTCAAACTTCTGGAAACATGGTGCTGCAGCTGTATTCTTCAAACTGGCTGAGCTATTTCTTTTTTTGATTTTGTCTCAGCTAACACCTGGGTGCCAAATTTGGACCAGAAAAGTTTAACTAGCTCAACTCATTATAAATTTTTGGGGTAAGGACTAGGTATGTATTCATTGATGAGTCAATCTGGACAGCATCAAATTAGCAAATTAAAAGCTTCGGTTTTGATAGGGCAAATGTGCTGCAATGTTAAGATTATTGGTGTACATCTCATGATCTTGAACAATGAACATATGTAAACTGTTAGTTCTCTGAAGTTGGTAAAATCTATTTCATTTTGCTCTAATTTGAAGTTTCAATGAATATCCTGCTATATGCATGAATGTCTGTGTGCGTATCTATTTCATTTATTTTCTGTATTTACATAGACGCCTATAACATGTTGAATTGAGGAGTGCAGCTCTTCTATATCAGTGACAAAACATTTAAAAGGTTCCTCTTTTGTCTTCAAATTCACTTCTTATCACTGTGCCCATAAATACTGGTATTAGGGGAGCAACTGAAGCATTTTAATTCTTTGCAGATCTGGAAACAAACAAGCCTGTAGGTAAACGATGCTCTGTTGCTATGTTGTTCCTAAGAATATCTACTCTTAATTCCAACATTGACAGTAAAAATCTATGCTATATTGAATCAGAAGTGTTCAGCCTCTGCATTATCTTATAAATCAGATTACCAGAGGTAAGTTTTAGTTTTGTTGTCTGAAAACATAAGCCTTGTGAATTAATTACTTCCATTTCTAACCTGAGATGAACCAATCTATTTTCAGACATCTTGTATCCTGCAAGTCTTGCTAAATAAAATCTGAACTTAGAGCTGATTGAGTTTGTGAATGTACGACTATAAAAAGGAATGGTAGTTACCAGTAAGGGTGTCTAACGGGCCGGGCTGACCCGGAACCGGACCGGCCCAGACCGGTTAAAACCGGAACCGGACCGGCCAGGTACATAGGGGGCCGGGTGGGCTGGGTAGGAGGGGTAGAGGGGGTTGGTCCGTTTACTTTTTTTAAACGGTTAACCGGACCGGTTAAACCCGGTCCACGTGAATAGTAACTCTTACCGGTTTAACCGGCCCGGTACAACGGCTATATTTTTTATTTTTTTAATTTTTTTTTTTATTTTTCGTATTATGTGGGGCCCACTGATCGTTGGCAACGGTTAGACCTGGAATTGATCCGTTAGCCGACGGGAGAATTGCATAAATAGCCTTTTTTTAAATAATTTTTTTAACCCTTTTTCAATTTATAAAATTAACCTTCTCAAAAACTATAAATCACCCCCCTCTTCTTCATTTCTTCACTCAACTCTCATTTCTCAATCTTAATTTCTCTCATTCTCTTATTCTCCAATTTTCAAGATTTCAAGTCTTCAATTCATCTTCTAATTTTATTTGGCTCTCTTTTCTTGAATTTAATTTATCGTGTTTTATCATTCGGATTTTGAAGTTTGAACAATTGAACTTCAAAATTGAAATACTTGCTTAACGTTTGTTCGTGGTAACATTGGAATTGCGTAATCAAGTGGTCAATTTATTGTCGAATTCGGTGCACTCCCTCCAACTCTTTCTCTTATTTACTATTTTAATTGCATATTTAATTTTAGCTTATACTTTAATTTTTACAATATGTTGAATGCTTCTAAAAGAGCGTGTAAAAAAGTTACTGGTAGGGGAAATAAAAAAAGAGGTAGTGCTTCAGCATCGGGTAGTAATAGTAGTACCCCATTTACATATGTTTTCGAAATATCGCCTAATGATAATATAGATTATGTACAATTCCAAGAAGATTTTAGAATAGAAGATAATGAATTAGGAATGGAAGATGAGATACCAACTACACCTACTAGTGCTGGAGTTGGTAGTGTTGGAGTTGCTACAAGGGGTGGTGGTCGTGGCACTAGTAGTAGACCACCTGTGGCTCCGACTACTAATCGTAGAAAAAGAAGTAAGGTTTGGAATTTTTTTGAAATAATTGAAGGTACTGACAGAGTTAGATGCAAACTTTGTAAAGATAATTTTAAACATTTGACTGGAAGAAATTTAGGGGAGACTGGGACGCTTAGTAGACATATGAGAATTGCACATCCCATAGAATGGGGCTCTGAGAATTGCACTGCAATTTCTCTGTTTCTGTAACTTTTCTCCTCCCTCAAGCCTTTTCATCTGCGGGGAATAATCTTGTTTTTCTTCTACGCGGGTGATATCCTCGTTCATCTTCCTTGAACTTCCTGGAGATTTTTCGGTTGCCGATCCCGTGACACAACTCATGTTCTTGCTTTCGGTACTGTCGGACCAACACTTTTCTGCTTCTGTCTTCTTTTCTTTATCACTATCAACATGTTTGTGTTGAACCTTGTCGTCTACGTCCCCAGTCTTCTTTAAACTTAGTTTTACTTTCAATACAGTAGTCTTGGCTTACAGAGGTTGTAGTTCCCTTGTCGCCCAAGAATATGGCCTGTTTCTTGATCAGTTTCTTGAAACCTAGAAGAAGAACTCTTCTCCGTCTGGTGGAGATCATCAACAGAGAACAGAATATGGCCTGTTTCTTGATCAGCTTCTTGAAACCTAGAAGAAGAACTCTTCTCCGTCTGGTGGAGATCATCGAACAGAATATGGTCTGTTTCTTGATCAGCTTCTTGAAACCTAGAAGAAGAACTCTTCCCCGTCTGCCGGAGATCATCAACAGAGAACTCAACACCACCACTGTCGATTTCCTCATCTTCTACTGTCGATTTCTTCATCATCTCCGATATCACTGGCACTATCGATTTCTTCATCACCAACATCAACGGCACCTGGTTTTTCCGGATTCAACAGCATCATTAGTAATTCATCTTTGTGCTTCTTAAGCTTTGTAGGGTGCTTCCATACAACAACTTGTATAGCTGCTTTAATCAACTGTATAATATCTGGCTTCTTCTCTATGGCAAAATGGTTTAGAAACAATGATTCTAAATCCATGGCTAACTCAAGTACACTCTCAACAATAACTCTATTAAGTGAACTAAAAATTGAAAGATATTTTGTTTGGCAGCCGCTTAACCTCACTCATCGTACATTTATACACCCTAGTTTGGAAGTAAATTAGAAAGTATGTTTCCTACACGGTTTAGGTTTAAGAGTGCAAGCAAATTAATCTTATTTTTCCCACGTAACTTGCATGAAAATTTATCTTTTTCCTTCTACACACATTTCAACTAAGATAAAAATTTATACCCTTTTACTTCTCTTTCTTCAAGTAATGCAAAAATTAGAGAATATAAATTAAAATGTTAAATGAATGCAAAATATATAAAAACTAAAATAAATTGTTTGTTAATTTGTAACAAGTTTTTATATAGTTAGTACAACCGAAAATCAAATAATTACTCCTATAAAACAAAAAGAAAACTTCCAAACCAAACCAAGAAAAATTACCATCGTTTTTAACCTGGTAGAAATAGTATAATGATTTTTTTTTTTATCTATTTCTCTTAATAATAAAGGAAAAATAATACAACACTTATATTACTTCAAATTGGTTAAATAAACACTGATCAATTAAGAATTGATATTATAGTTTCCCTATATGATATTTTTTATAGGGAATCTGACGAGAACGTACCAACAAAAGTCACTATTTATCTTTTAGTGATGCTACCAAATAGCTAAAAAAAATTTATCATATTCAAAAATTCGGTAAGACATATCGTTGCTTTAGCTTATTGAGGATATGATCCACGATAAGAAAGTGTGGAGGTCGAGGATTAGAGTTGTAGGTTGATTGATAGTAGTGTGTTCCTCCTAGGCTTACCAGTAGTACTAGGACTATTTTGTATTTTTTTTGTCATGGTTCTTTATTATTACATGCTGTGTCATTTGCGCTCGTTACCATATTACATAGTTGTTACCATTGTTTGCTACTATTGGTTGCTTTATCTTATTTCCACCGTTCCTTGGGACCGAGGGTCCATCGGAAACAACCTCTCTATCTTTATAAGGTAGGGGTAAGGTCTTCTACACACTACCCTCCCCAGACCCCATTTATGAGATTATACTGGGTTTGTTGTTGTTGTATACAACATTAAAAAAATATAGGCAACTTTTTTCCCAATGGGTATTGTTGTGATTCGTTGAAAATACATAGATGAAGCAATATACAAAATTTGACGAAGTTTAAATATGTGTTAGACTAGTCTGGAGCCAAATTACCAATGATATACAATATAAAAAATTAGACAAAAAAGATTTTTTTTTTAGATGTGTATATTGGGTTCGGTAAAAACATATAGATATGGCAATATACAAAAATTGAGCACGATTCGAGGTGATTTGAATTGTATTGGTATCAAAGTTCGTAGTCAAAGTCGAGTTTAAAAATTCTTCTGCGACACATGTATTAAGCATGTATCACATATGTATCTCACACACAAGTATACTTGGATATACATGTGATACACATATGATATATATGTGATACCCAA